AGAAGAAGAAGAAGAAGAAGAAGAAGAAGAAGAAGAAGAACGAAGAAGTTGAGGCACTCGGATGAGTCGATCCCTCTCGCTGGCAGAATTTGGTTCCTGGTGGGTCGATCCAGGACTGGGTCTCCTTCGCGAACTCGGTGCTGGGCGTGGTCTGGGCCTGGAACTTCTCCGGGTGCCTGGCGATGCGCTTGGCGCGACAGGCGCAAGCGGTCTTGGCGCAAGGCTCCCGAGAGATGGACCGAAGGAAGGGCACCAGGAGAGCCGCCGGGCAGGGGGACATAGGTCCAGGCAAAATGATCCAAGTCCAACGAGTCCAATTTAGAATCTGGGAGAAATCTAGAGAGATCTTCAGGTGGCATGAAGAATAAGTTTTGGCTCATGCTGTACCAGAGCCCAAGTGGATGGTTGCCATGGCATGGCGTTTTGCATGTTGAAAGCCCCAGCGGGTCCACGTGCTGAGAGGAACCTTCACCAAGAAGCAGAGGACGGTCCATGCGCAACTCGGGGCATTTCCCGCGAATACCGCGATCCCTGGGTGGTCCTCGACATGTCGGAGGTCCTGGTCATTGCCAAGCCACCAGGGTGGGAGGTCTATGACGGCAATGCTGAGCGGCAGCTAGCAGACTATTTAGTCAACCTCCAGCGGGGCCGCCTTCCCATCCTGACTGATCTCAAGCATGGCTGCGGTTCCCTGGGTTGGCTTGCGCACCAGCAGTCACAAAGGGGTGCCCATTGGAGGATAGGGGTGCCCATTATCCACTCACGCAGGGACCAAAAACCACCCCCTTGTGACTCCTGGTATGTTCTTTTTGTTGGTTGTTTTTTTGTAAGTTTGTTTCTTTTAATGGGCCCGATGTCCAAACGAACACAGTCAGCCAAGCGCCCTGCAGGTTTTATTCATCGATTGGATGTCCCGAGTTCTGGCCTGGTCATCGCGGCGACCACTTATCACGCCTGGTATGACCTGCAATTCCAGCTTGTCACGGGCACCTTGCTGCGAGAGTGTCGTGGCACCACTGGTTTGGTTGGATGGAGCTCATTTTGTGACCTGTTTGGTGGTTGCCCACCCAAAGAGTAGATAGGCACCGAGGGCAGGATTAAGATATGAAAAGTCGAACATTTGTCGGACCCAACTGTCCATTTGACTACGGGCTTGTCCCAGCAAGTCCACAAGCCCTCCCACCGAACGGTGTGGTTTCCCGCGAAATCGGGTCTCTTCCAAAGGTATTTGGTCTTAGCTCACGGCTTTGTCTATCGCGACCCTAACGCGCGCTGGAGCACCATCGCGGCGCTTCTGCGCTGGAGCGATGACGCGGTCGCCGCGGCGCACGGCATGGGCAAGCCCTCCGAAACGCGGCTCCGAGTGCTGGGGCACGTGACGGAGACTGGGAGGGTGAACCCGGTGAAGATCTGGGGGCGAAGATGTGTGAAAGCTGCAGGAGTTTGGGAGGATGAGATGCCACCAAATGGGGAGAGGATCTGGGAGGATGACATCCTCTCACATCCACTATCTTCATCCTGTTGGCGATGGCAGGTGCCCATCCTCACATCTCCAATGAGATGTGTGTGAAACCAATCGTAATCCACGACCAGATCTGTGGAATAGGCCAAATCTCCAGAAAGGAAGGCTTTCCACGACACATCACGAAAACCATGATGCATCCACAAGGAGTGTAACAGAGTGTCAGTGACTTTTTTGGATCCATTCACCTCCGTCATATCATCATGCACTATCCATTCAAATCCTCAAGTTCGCCCACGCCGCTGTTTCCGCAGGACCCGTCGGGTCGTAGCTTCGCTCTGCTCGTGATCCGCATCGTCACCGGGCGGAAGCATCAGATCCGGAGCCATTTGGCCTGGAAAGGGCACGCCACGGTGACCGATGCCTGGTGAGTAGCAAGCGACTTTCTTTTTGTGCAATTCTAGTTGATCAGAAACACTTGCAGTCTTTGAGTCCTGTTTTCTCCTTGTTTATCTCCCAACAGGTTTACCTGTGAGGGGTTCTTCAGGGTTTTCTCCGCTTGTCTTCGTGTGTGGCGGGTTGTTGGCTCGCCTTTTTGGGGTATCTTTGGCTGTCTCCTGTTGTCTTTGGCCGTCGCGTTTGTCTTCACCACTTCCTTGCTTTTGAGCCCGGGACATGGCTTCACAAAGAGCTGTTTCTCTGCGGATGTTCTTCCGTGGCATCCTTTTTCCTGTTTGGGGTCTCCTCTGGAAGTTTTGCAGCTTTTTGGGCGCGTGGGTGGTGCAGTTCTGCCAAAACTCCATCTATCTCTCTCTCTCTCTCTCCCTCTCTCTCTCTCTCTTCTTTTTTCTCTGCGCCCACCGGAACACCACGTGAATCTGCCACCGCTGCGCCCAGGATGGGAAATACACGGGCCCACAAACTCTGACGGAAGACTTGCGGCTCTGCGCCCGGAATTTCCTGCACCGCTGCCACCTCTCTTTGCGCCGTGGGACGGTTTGCGTCGAGGAGCACCATGTTTGGCAACCCCTGGCCCTGGATCTGGTCGAGGCTCTCAGAGAGTTGAGGCCCAAGGATCTGGCGGCGCAAAAGGCTCAGGAGACCTGGTGCAGCTCCAGTGAGCCAGCGGAATTCATGTGCACAGAGGGGCCCTGAAGCGTGAAAAGGAGCATCCCACACACAGAGTATCACAGAGTGAAGGTTGCTTGAGTGGAGAAGTTCTGAGGAATGTGTAGTTCTAGATACCTTGGACCTCCGTGATTTGTCCTTCTCAACCGGATAGCACTTGTGCTGAGGGACGAAGCCTTTCAGCCAGTTGGATCGGGGGCCTCAGTGATCGCGGGGTGCGTGCGGCGGGGGTCTCACTCTTGGGCGCTTTTCTTCTGGGACTCAGGAATTGGGGTGGCTGGATCCTAAGTCTTAGGTCTCTATAGTGAGGGTGGTGGTCATTCTCTTGCTCACTGCGAAGACCTATGCTTTGGCCATTTCCGGTTGGTCCAGCGAGCGCTGAGGTCCGAATTGGGTGAAGACACAGGTGGGCACGCCGATTCCGCAACTGCCTGGGGTGTGCTCCCAAGAGTGGGCATCAGTGCTTGGATGCGAAGATACCCATGGATGTAGAAGCACCCAGGATGCATATATAAGGGGCTCTACTAGTAGCAAATAGCCACGAACGGGGCTCCTGGCATCGCTACGAACGGAGCAAGGAACGCTACGAACGGGGCTCCTGGCCTTACTAGGAGCGATCGGACGCTGCAAGTAACAAAGGGCATCGCTACTTGTGGGAGACCTCTCCCGGTTGGCGAAGATGAATCGGAGGTCGCACGACCGAGTCAGAGCTCCCCAGCGGCACCGGCCCAGGTCTGGTACATGCACGAGCGGCAGAATCAGGAGGGTCCGGTGGCCTAGTGCCTTCGTGAGGGTGCCACGGTTGGAGTCTGAGAAGAGTTCATCATGTCGAAGATTTCATCAAATAATGGTTCAAGGGATGATCGACCACTAAAATAGGAAACAAGTGATCATCCGTGAGCAACACCCAGCTGAGGCAAGCATCAGCCCTGGCTCTTCTTCAATGCCTCACTCGGCCGGTGCGACAAAATCTGCCAGGGTCGGTGGGTAACTGCCCCTAGCAGCAGTATCCAGCAGTTGGGGGTGGTTGGAACTCGTCCTAATTTAGATTCTTAATTAATAACTAATCCGTTTGGATTGAACACCATTTTATATATTTTTGTGTGTGGGGGTGTTTTCTGATAATCATGAATCAAGAGTCTACATTAGGTCCTGGTGTGTGTTTCTTGCATCCAGCATGCCATGTTTGCTTCGGCGGTCAGAAGCTTGGAGGTTGGCTCATCCGTTGTCGTTGAGTATGGGCCCATATCTCATCGACCATCATCTACCAAATTCAGGGACCATTTCAATTTGTAAATGCTGGCTGGTAGGGACGTTCCAAGAAATTTGTGCAGACTTTTGAGTTCTTTCTGGACTCAGACATGGACAGAACCAGCTGCCCACACATGTCCGGCATGATTTTCATTGATTTCCATGTTGGGCACCCAGAAGTCAAGCTTCTTGAGTTGCAAACACTCATTGGTTCGTGCACCATCGTTGCCTTAGTTTATTCTCCCGACAATATTGGATTTGGGTTGTTCAAGTGTGGGGGCTGCTATCCCGAACTTCCGCAGAGCTGCCTCCAGAGACGAGCTCTGCATCTGCAGGTACTTTCGTCAGCGTGGAGACGCTGGGGGGAAGTGGCGGGCCTTAGAACTGGTGCCCGGCGATTTGGGCGGCACGTTGCCTCGGGGCCGCGATCACCACAGCGGACATGCACAAGGGGCCAGAGGGGGTACCGTTTTACTAGGAGCCAAGTTTATTTGGAATGCTTCAGGTGCCATTTGAATGGCACTATTGTTGTAGAATCCCGAATGCATCCATCGTTCGCCATGTCTTTTTGGGGAGCACGTGACCGTTGCTACGCCCCGCAGAGGCTTAAGCTTAAGCGATGAATCCATCACTTCGGAACGGCTCGGGTGCGATGGGAAAGGCCGCCGCGTGAGAGCTCCGCATGGCATGGTCGAAGCGGGCGAGGTGAACCGATTTTGTCAGAAGATGCTTGGCGTTGGAAGAGGCTACCCTCCGACCCAGACTCACATGGTTCCCGCTTGGAAGACTCTTGTCCCTCTACGAACATGGGCCCTCCTGGATGGGGGAAACTACTTTGTGTGATGTGTTTGTTGGAGTGTACCAGCTCAAATCGCTGAACACATGTGATGCCCCAGATTTAAGATCACGCGGACCCAGACAGCAAGGGGTCAAGATGAAAAAAATAAAAAACAACAACCTACTCAAAAAAAACTCAGACCAGAAACTCAGATTCCAAAGCCACTCAATTGAGAGACTCAAATTGGACTCAGATTGGACTCAAATTGGACTCAGATTGGACTCAAATTGGACTCAGATTGGACTCAAATTGTACTCAAACATGGTTTTTGAGTTGTTTTTGAGTTTTTTTTGAGTGTTTTTTGAGTTTGTTTTTGAGTTGTTTTTGAGTTTGTTTTGAGTTTTGTTGTTGAGTCTGTTTTGGATTTGAGTTCTTGAGTTGATTATTTTTTGATTATTTGTTGCTTATTTTTTGTTTTTTATTTTTTTCAATGATTTCAGCCCTGTCTGGTCACTGCGGGGTCTTAACCCCAGATCCGACCAAATCCTCGAAAGGCGGGAAGGCCCGGGTGCCGGGGAGGCTCCAAAAAGGGGCCCCGCTGGTGTCATGGGAGTCTCGGGGCCTGAGGAATGGCATTCAACTGGAGGCGCGATGGTGTTGCCGAGTTTTCAGGGTCAGAGGCAGAACTTCCGCATGGTCCTCCACCTGTTCAAGTGCATCTTTGAACATCCCGAACAATGCGCCGGGATGGTGCCATGAACGCCCAGAACATGTCCAGACGGTCTTGCAAAAAGGACTACTAGTAGTGACTAGTACACAGACCGCTGCAACCTGCCTGTTTGTAACTATGCCGCGTCAAAACGTATGCCTGGCCTTATCCTTTCGTTTTCTTACCCCCCCAGGCCCAGCTTAAATGCACCGTCCGGTTCAGGTCAGCTTCGCTCCCCAAGGGAAGGGCTTTGGGTGTGCGGCAGCCCAGGGACCATCCATCGTCGGTTCTTGGGGAGCTTCATGGCCCTGTTACTACTTTTGTATAGTTGTGTTTTCAACTGTTTTTTGTATTTATGCTGCATGCTTCCTATTTTCCTCCTCGATTTGTCCTTCGCAATTTGAACAAGTTCCAAGCTTCATGGAGCTCAACATAAGAATAGCACCCGACACCACGGCAGTTTCGGAGTTCACCAGCCGAAATAGCCGACACCACGGCCATTGGACCATCACCATGGCCGGCTGATTCTGTTCATGCTTAGAGGGCTCCAAACAGTTCTAGGTGACTAGCGCAAGTTCAGGCTCCGGACATCCTTTTTCCATGTTCCCTGGGCTTGATCAAACTTTTGTTCTTTTCTGGGAGGGTACCCACCACAACGGTGTACAATTTTGGAACATAGACTGAACCTTGGCAAAAGACTAACAGACTAAGACATTGGAGCTATGACTTTTGTAGACTGCCTGACCACCACCTGTGAATGAGGCACGCTTCAACTGGCAGGTGGGGCTTGTGGGATTGGGCCATTCTTTGGCAAGAGGGGGTTTGGTAGGTGCGTAAATCCGGCGAACCTGAGTTAGAATATGTGATTTTGGTTGTTTATTTTTTTGGTGTGTTGATTGAGTCTCAGGAGAGTCCAACAAGTCTGCTTGAGGATGATGGTAGTTGTGTGTTTGCTTTTTGTTCTTGTTTCATTTGCCCAGGAGTGCCCAAGACCTCTTTTGCTGTGGCGAGCAGTGCCTTTGCTGCAAGGAATGCCAGGTCGACCCCTCTACTCGCGCAGTTTCTGACATGCAAACTAAGGCAAGAAGGGTGCGCAAGCGTGCCATCCTCAGTCCCCAAGCCTTGTTGCCAGCTGTAGAGACATGGCTGAGGGCATCATGCGTGCTTAGACCATCGCTTGTGCTTCTTCGGAGACCGGCTGAGGGCGGCGTTGCTCGATATGCATCGCTTCCTCTCGGGATCTGGGATGTTGGCTTCCGCGCTCTCGTAGCTGGGCGTAGATGGGCATAGGTGGGGAGTAAACTGAGTAAATGAAGGTGAAAGGACTGCTATTATGAGACAAATCAAGACTCACAACGAGGTGAAAGGAAGTGCTGTAATTAGCTGGTTTGTTGGACTGAGTGGATGCAACAAGGAACACGAGGGAATTCAGGAAAAGGCCCTGCAAACAAGCACCACCCAGAAAAAAGAACTCCCTGAACTCTCTCGATTCAACCACCCCTCCGACTTCCCAGGGACCCACCGGCCGCTAAGAAGCGCAAAGCAGCTGGCGGTGCGGCCGTGGTGACTTCTGTCCCCGAGCCGGCAGTGCCTTCGGAGGGATCGGCTGCTTCAGTTGGACCAAGAATCAGGGCTGAGAGGGTGGCAAACTGCTTGGTCCGGTTGGGGACAATGTGACGCTTGTATATGTGCAGTAGAACGATTGGGGACAGGGTTCCAACATCATGGATTCAGCCATGCAGCTGGCTTTTGCGATTCGAGTGAAGACGATAGAGAAAGAGGTAGGGGATCAGTCAGGGCCTGGCCGCATGATCTACTGTAAATGGTCCTGTTCCAGATCAAGGGATCAATGTCTTTATCACACATTCTTTCTTGCCTAATCCTTTTATATAAGTCTTAGATGGCTTTGAGCGCCTCTTTCCCACGCACCGACCACGCCCTCAGGTGCCACCGCGAGTGCCCAAGGCCTTTGCCCCGCGGCCCCCGGGGCCCAGCGGGATCCGAGCGCCTGGTTTCATCCCAGCGAGAGGTGGGGTGGTCCCGGGACCGCGCCCGGTGGCGCCGGGGCCGCGCCCAGTGGCGCCGGGGGCGCGCCCAGTGGCGCCGGGGGCGCGCCCGGTGACCCCTGGGGTGATCCCTGGGCGGCAGACGCTGGCTGCCCGCGCAGGGGCGCCTCAGAATTCGATCGCAGAAGTGGCACTGGAAGGGGAAGATGGATGTCCTCTTAACAGGACTCACCAGGTTGCGGTTCGGACATGCTTGGAAGCATTTTTTGGTCGCACTCTTCATTTCTGG